AAATCAATAGATTGTAAAAACATATACATGTGTATTTTCAAAAAAATAAAATGGTATATTGTCAAACAATGATGGACGGGTTATAAAATAACCATCCACAGTATTCCTATTTTCAAAATGTGTCATTTGATCTTTTCTTAGGGATTTTTAAATCACTAATTATGAGAGTCGCTTTGATACCAATTGAAAGTTTAAGAAAGATGGTTAAACCTTATTGAACTTCCCAAGGCACACAAAGAGGGCGGGTGAATTGATTATTTAAAAATACTTTTCAAAGAACCCTTTTTGAATTTTTTAAATTAAACACAAACACAGCGGAAGAACTTAGTAGAAAAAAGATAATTTTTTGCTCCTTAGATTTTCGTAACAATAATAATTAAAACAACTAAAGCTTGATAATCAAAACACATATTTGTAGGAATAATAAACATGCAAGAAATTAAGATGCAGGAAAAATAAAGTGCATAAAAAAAGTAAAACGATCACACTAGATTTTATAATGGTTTGGTCAAAACTTGACCTACGTCCACTCGTCGGAATCCTCCTCTCTAGGTATTACACTAAAACTTATAGTATCTCTTTTAACACCCACAGCAAGACGAAGAAACCCTTACATAATCTCCTCCACCAATCTGGTGCGGTAGAGTACCATAAGCTTTTTCACTCTCCTGGTGAATGCAGAGTACCTCGAAGCTTTTTCTCCTTTCTGGTGAAGGCAATGAACTTGGAATCCTTTTTCACCCTATTTGTGAAGGTAGAGAACCTAATTCTTCAACCTTGAAGCATTTCTTCCTAGAGCAACCCCAAGAGACCAACAAAGACACTGGAGGAATCAAGGTACAAGCTTGCTTGGAACAACCGTATGGAATCCCCTCACACTACTCTCTCTCACAACTTTACATTCTCCAATGCTCTAATACCTTACAAAGCTCTCTCTCAGAATCCCTTCAACAGCAAAAGAACATTTCAAAAGAATAATAGAAAAGTTTTATACAAGGCTTCAAAAACCTTAAAGATACAATTCTGCCAATTTTGTTCGTAAAGTACGATTAAGGATCATATAGGAAGATTAGTTTAAAAACTAGAGTTTTGTTAAGTACGATGGAACAGTCGCAGGACAAACTGTTCATGTTTTATATATTGATCATATATTATGATCTATAGATCATATGGTAATTAGTTTAATCACCTTAAGACCGTACATGATAATCTCCGGGACGATCAAAATTATCTCAACAAGTCGTCCAATATGATTGACATTCTATAGTACGATTAGTTCAAAAACTAAGGTTTCATCAAAGACAATCAGATTTCGTCTCTACTTATGAAACTTTATGATTCATATAGTACAATATGATCCATCATATTAATTAAACATTGATTTGATTGACTAATTACGGTGATTAATTTAAATAAGTTTTCAAATATCGTATAATACAAAGGGATTCATACAGTACAAACAATACAAAATAAAAAATTTAAAATACTTAATTTTGATTGGCAGTAAGGGGTTTCAGATTAAACATATCGTAAAACACGATCATGTTAGTATCGTACAATTTGTTTAAAAACATTAATTATATATTAAGCTGTTAGAACTAATTTTACGAATAACTAATCATACAATACGATATTGATTGTACAGTACGATTTGTTCAAAAAAAATTTAAATTCATTTTTTCACTCCCAAGTGTGTGTATGCATGTAGGGGTGTCAATATTTGACACGACCAAAAAACCCGACTTGAACCCGACCCAAAAAATTTGGGTTAGGGTCAACCCGAACCAGAAACAAGTCGGGTTCGGGTTCAATAATTCAACCCGTTTCAAAAATTGGGTCGGGTTTGGGCTGACCTTTTGACCCGAAATTGACCCATTTTTTACCCGAAAACTCGTTTTTGACCCGACAATCCGAAATTGACATGTTGACCCATTTTTTACCCAAAAAGCAGAGATTGACCCATTTTTGGACTCAAAAACTAGCAATTTTTTGTTGGCACTGGGTCATTCGGGTCGTGTCGAGTTGACCCACACCCGAAGCAGGTCTGGTTCGGGCCCGGAAAACCGACCGGTTTGCAAAAACGGGTCGGGTTCGAGTTGACCCGAATAGTGTCGGGTCAGTTTCGGGTTTGACCCAAACCCGACCTATGACCCGAAATTGACACCCCTATATGCATGGTCGCTAAATCAACATACACCCTTATATGGCTTAACTCATGAAATTAAAAAAAAATAAAATAAAATAAAATAGAGACTTTTGCGAAACATTATCATATTCTACTCAATCTTGTGCCCTAAAACTTATTGAAAGGTGTATAACATACCTGAAATATTAGAACACAAAAAATAGATATGCAATATAAATGCTAGGAGAAATAAAGATTCAATTAATAATATTTGTGATCATCAAAATCATAAGTTTGGGATCACGGATTGCAACAGGGATTGGAAGGTGATTGGGTTTAACGGCTAAGAGCTAGTGTCAGCTGGATTGAGCGGCTGGTTCGGATGGGATCAAAGGCAGCAAAAGTTTCAGCTAGCTGCGGGATTGGGGAGGTTGAAGCTCTTGGATTAATGGAAGCCAGCTATTATTCGTGAACAAATAGAAGGTTGGTCAGAGGTCGTGTGCTTGGATCGGGATCGACTGGTAGAAATTGAGCATGGCTTGGCGCAGGGAGAGTCGTGAGTTTGAGTCGATCATGGAGGTCACGGTTGGTTGACTGGGTGAATGTGGAGGTCTCGGCTGGAGCTGTGAAGTTAGGCCAGTGGTTGTTTGCAGCCTGCTTAAAAAGGAGGGGTTATTCGGCTAGAAGAGAAATCGGGAATGACTTCTGGGAGGTGTGCAGTTCGGCTACAAGAAGAAGCGGGAAGTTTCAAAGCTCGTGCGATCAGGGTTGGACATGCTCGGTTTATGGAGGAGATTGGGCTGTGGAGGTAGAGACGAAGGAAGATCAGGATTGAGGGTGGTTTCGGAGCAATTGATTGTGTGCGAGAAATAGAGCTGAAGCTCTCGCTCATCTTCCTTTTATCAAATGAGAGCGGAGCATGGAAAGGCCGTGAACGGGGTCGATACAGGATTCGCGGGAAGCAACCTAAGCGGGCCGAATAGGTTTAAAAGTGATTTAAGTAGGATTTTTGGAATTTTAGTGGTGGTCAACAATGACCTTAACACCTTCAATGAAAATAAGGATTTTTATTTTTATTAGCTTATTAGTAAAATCAGAGAGACATTAAAATAAATGAAATGTGAAAAAGTTGTTGAGCCTGATGATTAATAGAGGTGTGGAGATGGTTAGGAGGTGAAAAAAAATCTTGGCTTATTAATCTTTTCGATATTATTTTGAATATTAAAAAGATACCAGATGAGTGAAGTATGATTCATATTTTAAAATAAAGGTGATACACAAGAGTGTGTGAATTATAGAGGAATTAAGTTGATGTGTCATACTTTAAAACTATGGGAGAGTTATTGAGCTTAAGTTACAATGTAATATTAATGTTTCTCAAAATCAATTTGGATTCATGCTAGGTAGATCTACTATGAAAGCTATATATTTATTGAGAGGTTTGATGGAGAAGTATAAAGAGAATAAAGAGGATCTACATATGATATTTATTGTTTTAGAGAAAACTTATGATAAAGTTCCAAGAAAAGTGCTACGAAGAGTTTTCGAAAAGAAAGAGGCTAATAATGCTTATATTCAAGTCATTAAGGATATGTATGTCAGAGCGATTACTTGTGTTCAAATACAAGGTAGTTTGATCAAGTATTTTCCTATTTAATTTAGAATACATGAAGGACCAAATTTAAGCCCATATATATATATATAGTCATGGATGTTCTTACTAGACATTTGCAAGAGGATGCACCCTGGTGTGTGCTTTTTACTGATAATATTCTTCTTGTTGATAAGATTGGAGAGTGGGTAGAAAGTAAACTTGAATTATGGAGGTTAACCTAAGATTCTAAAGGTTTTCGTTTGAGTAGATCTAAAATCAAACACATTGAGTGTACTTTTAGAAGTAATAGATTGAGTGGGGTGATTGTGATTTCGAACGATCAAGTCATTAATAAGAGTACACATTTTAGATATCTCAGGTCTATTGTCTAGAGTGATGGCGAAATAAATGGAGATATTATTAGTAGAATTCAAATTGAATGGTTGAAGTGGAGGAATGCAACAGGTTTGTTGTGCGATAGAAAAGCACCACTAAAACTCGAGGGGAAATTCTAAATGATGGTGAGACCTACAATGCTTTATAGCATGGAATGTTAGTAATTAAAAGAGAATCATACAATAAAGTTAAGTGTTCCTGAGAAGAGAATGCTCAGGTGGATGAGTGATTTTACTCTTAGAGATAGAATGCAAAACAAGTATATACATGAAAAAGTTGGAGTCACTCCAGTGGTGGATAAGATTAGAGAGAGTTGCCTTAGATGGTTTGGTTACACAAAACATCGGCCTTTTAATTACCCGGTTAGAAGAGTAGATGTATTAAATTTGGCCTATGTTAAGAGAAGTAGAGGATGACCTAAAAAAGACTTGGTTAAAAAATATTAGAAATGATATTTTTATTAGATTTAAATGAAAATTTGACTCTTAACAGAACACAATGGAGAAAAATGATTCATGTAGCTGACCCCATGTACTGGGATAAATGCTTGATATTATTATTATTGTGTTGTCATAATATTGTTTGTAAAATTTATAGAAATTACTTGTTGCATAAATCTAAATTAGCGCCACAACTCATTGTATGCCGACCTACATTGAGAGGGCAACTTTATTAACATGTAAAAATGCGGAGACTTCAAAAATTGGATTTTCATGCAATTTATAAGTTAGTAGAATTCAAAGTTATGGAAATAATCAATGCGCAACAAAATAATAGTGATTTTCAAAATGAACTGATAGACGAGGTATTTTTGTTATGCAAGCGGAAAATGAATAGGCCACTTGGCTAGTCAAGCACTATGAAGAATATGTAGAGTAAACGTACATAATGCATGCATGTGCCAATTGTTGGAAGCGATGAAACAAATTTGAAGTTGGAGGGCACTGTGGATAATATCTGGAGCGCAAATACTCATCCTTTAGAACAGATAAAGCAGTAGGGAAACGAAGAGCTTTGATTGCATAGACGCAACGCTGTACCTGAAAAAAAATCTTCTTCATGGAAAAATAGAAGGAGATGAGAAAAAATCTCAGTGTAGAAGATAAATGAAGCATACCTGAGTAAATTGAGGACCTGCTTGGGACAATGACAAAGCAAGGTCACCACAAGCTGGGCCGCCATTTGCTAAGATATCCAAGGACCTTGGAGTGATGTACAAACTATCAAACCTTCACTAACAAAACAATTAGAACAGCTCAGTAATTGCATGTGCCTAAATTTCAGTTCGAAATAAGTTTAATTAAGAGTTAAAGACAAATCTATTAAGGATCTTATTATTTCTAAAGAAACTCGGGGAAGAAGTTCATCTGTTTGGCAGCAATTTACAACTCCAACTAGATTCCACTAGTGTTTTGTTGCCAAAATTACAGGTCCATCTGAAAAGGAAAAAAAAAGAACCTTGACGTTATTTGGTATAAGATTTCAGGAAGATCAATCCTTTGCTCAAAGTGTTGTTGCATTGTGGTAAATCCAATAAGAAGGGGCTCAAGAAGACCAACAAGACAAGTCCTGATCTCAACCCCCTTTTTCTGTTTGAGGTTTATGTCTGTTGGGTTCACAAACAATAGGCGGTCATTCAATGTGCCAAGTAGAACTGAAAGAGAACAAAACAAGAGAAACGCAGATTAGGTGACTGGCAAGCCAAGAAGCCTTAAAGTTTTCTGTTCAAAATTTTTGTGATATGAACTATTTCAAAGTATCTTTCATAAGCTTACATATAGGCCTCTATCAAAACAGTGGCATACATAAGCTTACCTGAACAAGGCATACTTATAGAAAGAATAGTCCGAACTCTGCTATCCCACCCAAGAACCCCTACTGCAGTTGCAGTTGAGAAGAGAAGCGCTGGTCCAAGCCACAGAAGGGATCGAAAGTTCATACATGTTAAGTGATATCAAAATTTCTAGTAAATAACATACAGGTACAAATTAAAAGAAATTGGAAGCACAAAAACCAGGTGACTAGGATATTGGAGGAACTCCTTGGTCTAATTTTGTTGACGTGCTAGATATTATTTCTAGACCTGAAGATGCAATTAAAACTCTTTGACTTGTCAATATCCCCGCCACATAACCTCTGAGAGTATCTTGCCAGTAAACCTGTGAGAACTCCGAATATTTCAGAATTTAATGTCATAGTAGGCAAACAAGAATATAAAAAGTTTAGTTCGTAAGAAATGCAGGCTTCTTTATTGCTATGTAGACCATTTGGCATTGTTCAATTGCATGGAAAGACAAAAATTTTACACAGTTAAACATGCTTTAATTGTTCTGCATTTCTCCAGTGCAGCAGGGTGAAATGGAAAACTTTATTAGTTGATGATTCTAGGAAAAAGCTAAACAACAACAACAACAACATCAAGCCTTTATCCCACTACGTGGGGTCGGCTACATGAATCCTTTTTCTCCATTGTGTCCTATTAAAAGTCAAATTCTCGTTTAAATCTAATAAAGAAAGATCATTCCTAATATTTTCTAACCAAGTCTTTTTAGGTGTACCCCTACCTTTCTTAACATAAGTCAAATCTAATACCTCTACTCTCCTAACCGGGTCATCACAAGGCCGCCGTTTTATGTGACCAAACCATCTAAGGCGACTTTCTCTAATCTTATCTTCTACTGGAGCTACTCCAACCTTTTCACGTATATGCTCATTTCGTATCCTATCTCTAAGGGTAAAGCCAAAGCTAAAATGCATATATAATTACACTTATAACAAGAAAACCTATGTATCTAGAGTAAAAACAAAGCTTAAAATTGCGTAAATAAGCCTCGAAGCGTTTTTTGTCCGTGAGGCGAGGCGTAAGCCTCGAGGCGGTGTGAAGCGTAAGCCTCATGAACGAAGAATTGTGTAAATAAGAATTTAAATGTTTTAGCAGGTAAATAATAGTAAGATTCTATCATACAATAAAAACATCTAAATGACAAGTGAAATTAGTGGAAAGTAAGAAAATATATACAACAAAATCATGTCCCAAAGTACATAACCACAAAATATAAGTCTATCAAAACTCCCAAGGTACTACAACAACAACAACGACAACAACATCAAGCCTTTATCCCACTACGTGGGGTCGGCTACATGAATCCTTTTTCTCCATTGTGTCCTATTAAATGTCAAATTCTCGTTTAAATCTAATAAAGAAAGGTCATTCCTAATATTTTCTAACCAAGTCTTTTTAGGCCTGCCTCTATCTTTCTTAACATAAGTCAAATTTACTACCTCTACTCTCCTAACCTATTTCACCATCACTCTGAACAATAGATCCAAGATATCTAAAACGTGTACTCTTATTAATGACTTGATCGCCCAAAGTCACAATCCCTTCAGTAGGTCTATTACTACTAAAATTACACTCCATATATTCTGTTTTAGATCTACTCAAGCGAAAACCTTTAGACTCTAAGGTTGACCTCCATAATTCAAGTTTACCTTCAACTCCCTCTCTAGTCTTATCAACAAGAAGAATATCATCAGCAAAAAGCATACACCAAGGTACATCCTCTTGCAAATGTCTAGTGAGAACATCCATGACTAAAGTAAAAAGATATGGGCTTAAGGCTGATCCTTGATGTAACCCAACCGAAATAGGGAAATACTTGGTCAATCCACCTTGTGTTTGAACACAAGTAATAGCTCCTGCATACATATCTTTAATGATTTGAATATAAGCATTATTGACTCCTTTCTTTTTAAGAACTCTCCATAGCACTTCTCTTGGAACTTTATCATATGCTTTTTCTAAATCAATAAATATCATATGTAGATCCTCCTTATTTTCTCTATATTTCTCCATCAAACCTCTTAATAAATGTATGGCTTCCATAGTCGACCTACCCGGCATGAATCCAAATTGATTTTGAGAAACATTAGTATCACGCCGCAACCTATGCTCCATAACTCGCTCCCATAGTTTTAAAGTATGACACATTAACTTAATACCTCTATAATTCGCACAATCTTGTGCATCACCTTTATTCTTAAAAATAGGAATTAACATACTCATTCTCCACTCATCTGGCATCTTTTTAGTCTTCAAAATAGTATTAAAAAGTTTAGTAAGCCATGAAATTCCTTCATCTCCTAAGCATTTCCACACCTCTATTGGGATATCATCAGGTCCAACAGCTTTTCCACCCTTCATTTTCTTTAAAGCCTCTCTAATTTCAGTTTTACTAATATGCCGATAAAAACATAAATCTTTATTTTCATCTAGGGTGCTAAGGTCACTATAGTCAATCTTATTTTCACAATCTTCATTAAAAAGTTTAGCAAAATATCTCATCCATCTTTGTTGAATATCATCTTCTAAGAAAAGTATTTTTTGATCTTCATCTTTAATACACTTCACTTGAACTAAATCCTTACTACTCCTATCTCTTTGTTTGGCTAACTTATACATATATCTTTCTCCCTCTTTAGTATCTAATCTATTATATAAATCACTAAAAGCTAATGTCTTTGCATCGCATATGGCTTTCTTAGCATCCTTACGAGCAACTTTATATATTTCCCAATTATCGGAATTTTTAAAATTAAACCAATTTTTATAACAAAGCTTCTTATTTTTAATTTTTTCTTGCACATTAGGATTCCACCACCAACTATTTTTACTATTGGGAGCTTTTCCCTTTGATACTCCAAGGACATCTTTTGCAATATTCTTAATATCACTAGCCACTTTTTCCCACATAATATTAGCATCCTCATGCACAGACAAAATCTTACGATCTAAAATCTTATCTCCAAAAATATTTTTGTTAATATTCTTTAAATGCCCCCATTTAATCCTAGAAAATTGTTTTACTTTATTTTTTATTTTATGCCCCTTTATCTTAAAGTCCAAAACTAATAATCGATGTTGGGTACATAAATTTTCACTCGGAATAACTTTACAATCTTTGCAATCTAAACGATTTAATTTTCTAATAAGAAAATAGTCAATCTGGGTTGTATTATATCCATTTTTATAAGTGATGAGATGTTCATTCCTTTTCTTAAATAAAGTATTAGCAATTAAAAAATCATAAGCTAAACAAAAATCCAATATGGTCTTGCCACCTTCATTCGTCGTTCCAAATCCATGGCTACCATGAATGCTTTTAAAATCATCTACCTCTCTACCAACATGTCCATTTAAATCTCCTCCAATAAAAACTCTTTCTTCAAGAGGTATATTTTGTATTAATTCTTCTAAGTCATTCTAAAAATTTAATTTAGAACTTATATCCAAACCTATTTGAGGAGCATAAGCACTTATAATATTAACAATCTTATCATCAACAATAATCTTTAAAGCTATAATTCTATCTCCAATCCTATTAATTTTTATAACATTATCCTTCAAACTCTTATCTATAATAACACCTACACCATTTCTAGTACGGCTCCTACCTGAATGCCAAAGTTTAAATCGTAAACTATCAATTTCCTTAGCCTTCTCTCCAACACATTTAGTTTCCTGAATGCACAAAATATTTATCTTTCTATGAATCATAATATCCATTAATTCTATTAATTTTCTTATAAAGGAACCTATATTCCAAGTTCTTATTCTAATTTTAGTTTCATAGACTAGCTTTCTTTGCCCACATTCGTCCTTGATGTGGGAACCCTTGCCTATTTAACACTGCACCCGGGCGCCGATGCAATGGCCCTTGCACACTTGTCACAGTATTCAAGCAATACAGCGCGTCGCTTGCAGGGGACACCCTAGCATTATCACAATTTCTTAAAGGATTCGTGTCATTATTATTCGACAAGTTTTATACTGGCTGTCGACAACCTAACGCGAACCTCCATTTTCTCATCCAGGACTTGGGACCTGGCAACCGTAGTGTAACATGAGGAAGTACAAATAAGAAATAATATATTTAAAGTCATCACTTCTTCCTCCTCTCCTATAGAGTCCAATGTCTCCCAATCAAAGCATACACTCATGAAGAAGCTGACTAACACTAACAACTATTACTAAAGATGATGAATACAACAATATGCCGGGCTGTCAAGGGTCTAAGGGGGCGCTGCCCCCTGGCGGGGTTCGACCTAGCGATATCGAGCATGTACCTAGCGGTACCGAGCATGTACCTAGCGGTACTGAGCATGTACATAACAGTACCGAGAACTATGACCCTAAGTTTTTAGTAAGTGGGCCCCCATATTAGAGGCGTACGCCTCAAAGGAAATTGCACAATAATGCTAGTGAGGCGCACCTCACTCCACCTGAGGCGCACCTCACTCCACCTGAGGCGTACACCTTATGATGCCTGAGAATTGCCTAGGCTTTTAGGCTATTTTAGAGAAAATTGCACAAAGGCACGCCTCGGATTGTGCAATTTTAAACTATGAGTAAAAGCACTTAACATGAAGCATTATTGAGTATCTATCTATGCGTATTTTACTTTTTGAATTTGATGCTAATAAATATTGGATGATGTAGTCTAAAAGTTTACAAAGTATTCTCTATAGATTAATCAATCCATAGCTACAATCAGGATGATTAAAATGTAAATCAAGTTATAGCAACCACTAAGATACTGTAGATTAGATGATTTTTCACTAGAAAGGCTTGGAGGACTCAATGGTACAAGCAAGAAGATCTAAGATAAAAAAATCCAAGGTTGTGTGTCTAATTAAGGTGTTTTTAGCTACTCCATGTAGGATTTAGTGTTTAGGGTTGTGAGTTGTATTTTTTCAGCGTATAGTATCTTTGTAAGTTGTTTAGCCATTTTAAGACTTGGGCTCATTATTTTGAGGCTTTTGTAATGGTTAAACTCAATTCAATTAAATAAAAAAACTCAATTCAATTAGTTGAGTGCCGAGTTTGAATCATCATTGAAAGAGAAGATCAATTTTCTAACTATTGTTCTTGAATTGTCAAGAACTCCAAAGTCAGACTTCTTGCTTCTTGAAATGAACTGATTTTTAATTGTCAATTGCAAATTTATAAATTATTTGAATTCTTGGATTGTGGATCTTGTCCTACTATATATATCAAGCTACAAAGAAATGTGTAAATGCGATTGTGTTTGAATAGGATAAAATTTCAGAGAATTTGATTTGAGTTTTGAAGATTTGGAAACTATACTTGGTAGATTAG